TACGCGTTGCAAACGAACGAAGGTCTCAATCGTTGCAAGGCATAACGCAATAATAATCATAATGCCAGATCGATACGCGATATTCGTTGCATCGCACGGTGTATGTCATTACAAGGATGGAGGCACGAAAGCACACGGAATGCCGCGGAGTCGCGTAACGATGTCACGCTGAAAAATTCGCTTAAATTATCGGTTTCTTCGCCGCGAGAGTCGCATGTCCCTTTTTCTTCGCGTGCCAACCTTCTCTCTCTCTCTCTCTCTCTCTCGCTCTTCCTCCGTTCTTTTCCTTCGACGTCTCCACGCGATTTTCATGGACGATATGCATCTCTCGTCGGCCGATCTCGCGGCGGTGACTCGCGAAGAAAGTAAATAATATGCAAGAGTCCCGCGTAATGAGCGTACAATTACCAGCGCGAGATCGTTCGATATATATACGGGCTTGTAAAATCTGGGAAATTGTAAATCAACGTACCGTACCGGCGACTTTCTAAACCGCGTCTCGCCCCGAGGAGCCCTCCAGTTCGCCCCATCGCGTCGTACGTTTTTGGAGAGATAATCGGCCACTCGCGATCGTCGTGCGTTTCACGGTTTTGGGAATATTCGCCGATCTCGTCACGTCGATAATTGACGCGGCCAGCTGTAAATATCGATGCGTCCCGTGAAGTGAAAAGTCGGTTTTCGCGGGAAATAGGATAGCGCGGCGGCGGTTGCGCGCGTGTATGCCGTGTGAGCTCTAATGGCGCACGAAAGGTCGAAGTTCAAGCGTTGCTTCGATTGCCGAGTGAATTCCTCCCGGACGACTCTCGAATTACGCTGCGACGGCGTACGAGAATCGGAGAACGATCGACGCGCGCGTTTCTTCCCGCGATGAGAATTTCAATTTTCGTCGCTGGGATGGAACAAGGTCCGATTGACCTAGAAAGGTCGTGATTTACAATGCGAACGATCGGCGCGTTGCCGCTGGAAAATGAGGTTCGTTTGAATTCATCACTGTTTGTGAAGTTTTCTCGCCTTCCAGATTTGTTGACAATGAATTATTAGCAAAACTGAAAAATTCCTGGACGCGCGACCACCGAAAGAGAATTAATTCAAAGCTCATTTGAATTTGGCACTAAAGGATTGTCTTTAAATAAAGTCAGCGGCACGAAAACATTTGCTCTGGTAAAGGGGAAAAGTTGAAGAGAAACCTTGTTTTAAACGTGTGTTTCGGTTATTACGGGATTTACGTAGTGAATATGTTTAGACCAAACGCACGAATCGTTCATTCTTCGCTTTGATAAGATTCATGGTTTCGTGTTCGTATCACTTGTTGCATTAAGACATTTAGTATCGCTCGTACGTGGGAAGAGACATAAGAATTCGCACACGTTTCACTGTATACCGAATAAAATAAAATAAAAATAAAATTAAAACGAAAAACAGAATTTGATATACAGAATGGCGAGGAAGTGATTCAATGAGGGTATAAAAACGGGAAAATGTTTGTGCCGTACGAAAGATTTACATAAATTACTCGAGTAGTAGGAAACGCGTTGAACGATATGGCGAGTGTAATAAACGAGCACGAGTCAAAGTGGGAGAAGAAACGAACGTAGTAATTCCTACGTACGTTTTCTCGATTTGCTTCAGTCATGACTTTACTTTCGATTTTTCTATGTAAATTCATATTTTGTAGATTGGATCACGACTTTTCTTTCGACGTGTCAAACGTTTACACTCTCGACATATATTTCATATATTTTTTCCGCGCATTCTATATACTTTGAAAGTTCCCGCAGACGCATGAGATTATAACTAACGAGGTTTCGAAATGTTTTGTATAAAACGCGCATTGTATGAATTTCCCACAAGAATTTTAAGAATATTTTCGCAAGGGCAGCTAGACGTTCGACGATTGTCGGCTCTCGTGCATCGTTAAGATCAATGAATTTTTATGAAAGGATAACCTCGCCCCCTCGTTTGCAAATATTCGATATCGCGTCGTGTAATTCGTCGCGTCTGTAAAAAACTTGGAGCCACGGTGTCTCTCTGTAACCTCCGTAGCATCGTTTTCTAAAGTTCTAAAGCGGCGTGACGGTACGAGAACGTGAGCTTCTGAGCAACATGCGGGGTATCTGGTTTCATAGTTTTTAGGTGCTAAAACGTATGCAAACTCGAGACGTTTAATTGCATCTTAAAGAAAGAGAAACTCAACGTTTTACTGTCCACTCGTTCAGATAACTCGTTAGTAATTTATTGGCGATTGCTTGCTTTACGATATATAACGTACATATACGCGCGCCGCGTATGTATGTATATACGTATGTGGTCACTGGCGTGATTAACACCCAATCGCTTAAGCCACGAAGGAAACGGCGGCTCGCCAAGCCCAACCCAGTAGTCGGCGATTAATTTCTGAAGGAAATTATAAGTTTAAAACGGTCTCCGCCGCGTCTCTCCGCGCCGTGCCACTTGCAAGAGGTACCGAAAATTATTGGCGGCCCGTTTCTTCGGTAATTGGATCGTTCGTCAACCATGGACAATAAGGAAATAAATAATTATTCGAATATAGCGAGAAAGTGTGTGCTTCAAGCACTGAACCGATATCGTGTCTGTCGTTGGCAGATTGATCGCGAGTCAGGAACGGAAGATAGCCGAGATAGAAACACTTTGCATTTTTTCCCCCTCTTAGCTAGGATCGCATTTATCCTTGGAAATGGAGCTATTATATTTTTGGCGTATAGTTTTGATAGCGAATAGAATGTATATATATATATATATATATATATATATATATATATAGGAATTTAACCCATTATGCAGAGGCAATGATTTATCGTATTACTATAAATACTTCAATTTCTTGAAATTTTCAGAAACTTTTATAAACAGAATATATGGTGGTAGACGTGATGACGGTTTCCAAAAAATCTTTAGACACTCTTTGATAGTTCCAACATTGAAAATTAGAGTTTGACACGGTAGAGTTGCGGAATTGAAATTCATGTAATTGAAGTATACCGAGTGTATCTCCTCTCTGCTAGAGTGATTTTTCCTAATTAGAGTTCGGATTCGAATAGCAAGAATTTCACTGACTAACTGTGACGTTCAAATAAATGGAATCGTGTAAACATTAGTTCTCAATGGATCAACTGCAACGCGTAATAAATTTCTCTATGTTTAATTCAAGATCCGGGCGAAACTTTTATCTCTGAATTCTCATTCCTAGAAGAAAGTTTTCATTTCTATGGAAGAAAATTCAAAATTGAAAATTGAAGCTCCTTACTAATTTCTCGAAAGTTTTCAACAATCTGGGCATTTTCAAAAAATTGGTTTTGGACGTCTTAATTAAAAATGATCCATGTAAAAAAATATCATTTAATAAAATTACTTGATGCAGATGTACGCTTTCAATAATCCTCGATAAGGGTTAATCAAACTAATCTTGAAGGTAAGCTGGTCCGTCGATGGTAATAAATTTAATCGACATCTATTTGATAATTTAATATAATTTTATATTTAATTCACACGTTTAATATAATTTTATTTAACAATTTGGTGTAAGTTTAATTATTTTAATATTTTCTAACTTGATGATTAATTTTTTGAAATATAACCTCAGAGGAGGAAAGTATAACATACGTGATCAGCTCGTATCGGAAAAGAAAAAGAAAGCCTCACGGAAGAACGTGATCGCGTAAAATACTCGTTGAAGAAATTGGATCGATCTCGATCGGTCCCTCGAGGTCTCTCCGTTGTTCTCTTCCCTATATTTGATTAGGTGCAACACGACGGTACCTCTTTGATTTGATGGACCATAATGTCGACGGCGATTATAGCTGTTCGGTTGATTTGCCGCACAGTAGTGATTAACGCTCCGATCGTTGTTTCGCGAATAGAAGCCGATCGATATCCAAGCCACCGATACCGATGATTATCTCGTATCGCGTTTTCAACCCGTCCATTAGTCGAACTTTATTACCGGCTCATCGCTGACTCGTCGGAATTAACCGGACACTTTCATTAACCCGCTCTTTAAACCAGCGATCGGCCCGAATATTACGTAATGAACGTGAAAATCTTTTTTTTCTGCGCGTATCGCGATTCTATCGTCGTCTTCGTCAGCTTTTATCGTTTTATCAGCCTTTATCCGAGTGATCGATCACCGAAGGAATTCACATCAGTCGCGAGTTACTCGAAATTCTGTCGCCTCTTGCAGTTGTTCCGAAGTTGAGTAATTGGAAGTCAAAATGAACGGTATAAATCAAGTTGTCTCGCGGACATTTCGATCCAATTAATTTGACTTCGGTCGGGTAATGAACACCTAAAATGGTATCGAACGACGCAGTGATCTGTGTGGAGTGTCTGTAAGATATTGCACAGGCATCGGCGTAAGTGTGGAAAATGGGAAAATTGTTTAAACTCACCCGATCCATTTGCAATTCGCGCGATGAGTCATTCTGATTGAAACATCCTACGACGCTACTTTCTTTTAACGTTGACATTGATCATTAACACAAATGATTGTTATTAATGTTAAAATTCTAATTATAAATATAAAATTCGTCGTTTCTCGTGAATTATTTTGCGTTTGCAGGACGGACATTCTATCTCACGATGAATATGTTTTATTTGACGTTAAATGTAGCTTTAACAAATGTTTCAGTTGCTTGAATTCCAATGGCTTGAATTATTTCAGCGAACGAAAGATCAGTTTAAGTACAAACCGAATCGACTTGAACAATTTTAACAAAATTGCAGATTTGTAAGTTTGAGTTCAGGTTCGAATTATTCGAGCAATTCATCGACAATTGTTTTAAAGAATATTTTACATTGCTTGGTGTCAAATTAGAAATTACTAGAATTCGAACGAACATCAAACAGTCACGCCAAAGAGTGTGTCGAGTGGAATTCAAGTAACTCTAGTAATTCGTGCAAACATGAATTTTAAGTGAACGTTTCAACTTGATAACTCGAACGATTCAAGCATAATTTAACCGCACGTTTTGTTCTGTTACCAGTCGTCTGGCGCCAGAGGGAGAAAAACGAGGGAAGATTCGTCGTTGATTTCTTCTCTGCTCGTCGAATCGAAGACCGCGAAGACTCGAGTGCGATGTTGAACGTTTCGGTACGTAGAACGAACGATAATCACGCGTGTGCGTTCCGTTGCGGTTCACGTTGTTCAGATCCGATCGTAATCGACGCGACGGGGGAAGTGAATCGATCGTAAACGGTGTATAAAAGTAAAAGGCCGGAGGAGCAAATAGAGGACTAGTGTCACAACGCGTGTGAAATGGATGGTACGCCAAAGAAAATCGAAGCAGTGTTAATATATGGATGCCCATGGGTGGAATTTGGCCGAGATGTGCCAGCGTTACCATCACGCTGTACCGGCAGCCCAAAATTCTTCGCCAGCTAGGGATCCCTCGGCTGCCATCGTGCAAGGCTTGTCAACGGCTACGCACATCGACCAGGCTAGTCCCTCTTACTCCCATTACACGTGAGTAATTGTTGCCTTTTGCTTCTATTTTTCTTCTTTCCTTTTTTTGTTCTTTAATTGTGGGTAATACACTAGGTCGATCATAAGCATTAGGATGCACCAGTTTAGCAAACTATTCTAATATACTTTGTACATTGATAGAATGATATATTCCTGTTTTCTATAAAATCGTTTTATCACAACTCTCATTTGCTTTAAAGTATCTAATAATCAAAGCGACATCTGCAAAATTGTGGTAAAATAGTATAATGCAGCACTTGTAAAGTAGTGTTGGGTAAAATAATAGTAAATAGTAATGATAAGAGAAGTAATGGTGACAGTAATAGTAATAATAAACAGTAGTAATAATAGTACCATAGTAATAAGCATTAGTGAAAGAATTGTCGTTGTAACAGCAGTAGTAAATAATATTTTCTAACCAATAGTATATTATAGTAACTATATTAAGTATATTATAGTATAGTATACGGTACAATAGTGCTATATTAACTACTCTAATATACTTGATATACTATTGATACTTAGAGTATAGTAACTAGTATATTAAGTATCTTATAGTATACAGTACAATAGTGCGATATTAACTACTCTGATATACTTGATATACTATTGATACTTAGAATATAGTAACTAGTATATTAAGTATATTATAGTATACAGTACAATAGTGCTATATTAACTACTCTAATATACTTGATATACTATTAATACTATTATTCTAAAGTATAGTAACTAGTATATTGAGTATATTATAGTATACAAGAGTGCTATATCACCTACTCCAATATACTTGATATACTATTAATACTATTAATATTAAAGTATAGTAACTAGTATATTGAGTATAGTACAGTATACAATAGTGCTATATTAACTACTCTAATATACTTGATATACTATGATACTTGGAAAATATTTATTTACTATTATTGCTTTAACGATAATTTTTTTACTAATACTTGTTACTATTTAGTACTATTATTACTACTGTTTATTATTATTATTACTGTTACTATTGCTTTACTTATTATTACTATTTACTATTATGTTACTTAACACTACTTTACAAGTGCTGCATTATACTATTTTACTACAATTTTGCAGATATCGCTTTAATTATTAGATATTTTGAAGCAAATGAGAATTGTAACAAAACTCTCTTTTATAAAAAATAGGAACATGAATAGTAAATATGAATAGATATACTAATTCTTATGATCGACAGTGTAGTTGCAGTAAACTACAAGTTTTTACGTATTTATGTATAAAATGCAAAGAATAGACAAAATATTCAGGAATAGTAAAATGTTTGGTAGTTAAAAACTCTTGTTAGAATTTATAGAATTCAGTATCACGATTATTGAAATTCATGTTACATTTAATCCCCTACGTAATCGTAATCAACGAGAGTCGCACGTTAGTACTGACAAAACAATTGAAACGTCACGTAAAGCATGTAAATACTAAATTCGTGAAATATACAACATCACACTTCTTTCTCGTTAATTCACACTTGCCCGAAAAATATCGAGTAACCAACCGAGAAGGGAAGGTGACGAAAACAATCGAAAAGACAATGCAATAACCATAAAAAGACGTGAGAAACAAAATCAATCAGTCGACAGGATGGAGCGTAATTTCGTTGGCCCGAAATTGCCACGACGCGTATGGTTTATTTCGCGAAAATTAAAAAGAAAAAAAAGAGGTGGGGAGGGGAGGAAAGAACAGAAACGAAAGAAATGGCTATGTTTCGGCGTTCGGTTTTCGCACGTGCCTCTCGACCGTGTAGTCACGTTATCGCAGCCACGGGACCTTCTCTCAATTGTATTATATATATTAATAACGATACAGCGAATTAGGGATAAGTATACGATTCCGCGGTCAGGCCTCGGTAATCCTGTTATTAGCGCGGCGATTAGGGGAAGATGATCCCCGGGCAAATTGCAGGGGCGTATACCGCGGTGTTTGGTTAACGTAATCGCCAATCACTATCGTTGATCCTCGAGCTCTCTCGCGAGGAGAGACAGAGAGGAGAACCGTGGGGAAAGATGAACGACGAGAGAGAGAGGAGAGACGAAAGGAATCGGGAAACGAGGGGGAAGAGGGTCGATGCGTCGGCCGGTATAAACCCCCTCGGGACCCCTTCGGCATTTCCCTTCTTCCTCGAGAATTTTCTCGTTTACGTGTCGTGGTCTCGAGAGCCCGAGCCGGCCGAGGAGATCTCCGGCTCTCGTGTCCTGCAGACATTCGTGCCGTGAGTCGATTAAATTGCAGTTTACGCTCGGATTCAATATTTCACTGTTATTACGTGGAATTGGCGTAACCAAACGGCAGAAGAACGTCTCTTCTTTAAACAGTCTGAGATTATTGGGTTGACCACGGGCCAGAGAGAGAGAGAGAGAGAGAGAGAGAGAGTTCTGGGCCGCGATACCACGGCCAATTTGTTTTCCGTGGCTAGAATGTTGGTATTTCTGTATCCTCTGGTATTTTATCTGGCTGATGTATCGGCCGGTGTTTTTGCTTTCTTCGTTGACAGATCGATGTCCTCGTCCGTCGGAAGTTCGTGGCCGAGGTATCACGTACATGCGTATATAGTTGCCGAGGTTAAGTATGGTTTCGAGTGTAGGGGCACCTTAACACTTTCCCGGCGAGATATATTGAAATGACAGTCGCGTGCAATGGAATTCCTATATTTTATAAGTAATTGTGCAATTTTCGTTATTCTACTGTTATTAATTTGACTAATTTCGATTTTATTAATGTACCATGACGATCGAACCTCTGTTTCCAAGAATTCAGTTAGTATTTTTAAGATGATATTTGAAATGACAGTCGCCTGTAGGAATTATTATTTTTATGTATATTTTATAAGATAATTGTGCAGTTTTCGTTATTTTACTGTTATTAAAATTTGACTAATTTTGATTTTATTAATGTACCATGACGATCGAACCTCTGTTTTCAAGAATTCAGTTAGTATTTTTAAGATGATATTTGAAATGACAGTCGCCTGTAGGAATTATTATTTTTCTGTATATTTTATAAGATAATTGTGCAATTTCCGTTATTTTACTGTTATTAATTTGACTAATTTCGATTTTATTAATGTACCATGACGATCGAACCTCTGTTTCCAAGAATTCAGTTAGTATTTTTAAGATGATATTTGAAATGACAGTCGCCTGTAGGAATTATTATTTTTATGTATATTTTATAAGGTAATTGTGCAATTTTCGTTATTTTACTGTTATTAAAATTTGACTAGTTTTGATTTTATTAATGTACCATGACGATCGAACCTCTGTTTCCAAGAATTCAGTTAGTTCTTTTAAGATGATATTTGAAGTGTAGGAAATATTATTTTCACGTATGTCTTGTATATAACTGTACAATTTCTCTTATTAATTATTGTAATTTTATTAATGTACCATAACAATTGAATCCTGATCGATACGACTGATTTCAGACTATCGTTTGAATTATATTATTTAATTACTAAAAATTGATACTAATTTCTGTTTGGACAGAGGACACGAGTGTAGTAAATCTACTTATTTATGTCGTTTAGATTATACTAATTTATATGTAGAATATTTTGATATGGTTGTTCTAGCATTAACAAGTACATTAATTTTTTTTGGACAACCAAAATCAGATATTACACACACATATGCGACGCCCGCCGTGAAAGTGTGTTAACGATCCGAAATTCCAATTTGTTTCCAAGCCATCGGAAAGAAATTGTTTCAATCGTCGTTAAATGCAAACTGGCATCACGCTCCAGTCTTCGGTGATAGGGATAAATGTACCTATAAGTAATCCGTTCTTTTTTTTTTTTTATTTTATCAGTAGCTCGTTGAGATTATTGGAGCAATTCTCCGTTCCGCTCTGCGCGATACGACGACTAATTTATTACGAACGTTTCTGTATTCCCTGGCATTTTATCTGGTTGATCTATCCAGAGGCTAGAGTTTTTTGCTTTCTTCCTTGACAAATTGCTTCTTTCGTTCGAGGCTCGTAGGCTTTTACGATAAAGTGTTGCAGGTACACTTGCCTCGTTTTCTTCTAAGCGTCTTTTTTTTTTTTTTTTTTTTGGTAAAAGTGTTTCAACTTCAATATCGCAGCTATCGATCGTCGTGAAGTGTCGTTCAGTTCGTTGATTTTCGAGAGAAATGAAAACGTTTCAACTTTATTCCTGAATGCCAGCTTAATCCTTGCCGCTCCCGACCGGTAGCGCTACGCTGTCGAATGCAATGTTCAATCAATTACAACTACGTTCTACTACTTCAGCTGACAGTATCGAAGTAATAAAGATTAATATCACCCCCGGGTTTCTTTTTCGTCGCCAGGTTATTGAAATTATTCGTTTGATCATGTCGCGCGGATTTTTCTTCTTTACAACACGGTCGGCTACTTGTCGAAAGTAGAATATTTATACTAAGGCGCATTTGCACTAAGCGGCATGCTAGTTTCATTTCCTCTGTTGAGAAATTAAATCTTTTACGATTTGGCGTATCGCACGCACACACAGTTGCATGAATCGAGACTTCACTAGGCGTAACAAACTCTTTCGGAGAGAAAATATTTCGATCGACTTTTTTTTTTACACGAAAGGATAAATATTTCTTGACATTCTTCGTTTAATTCTCGTTACGACGTTAATCGTGTTACTGCCGGTATTTATATATATATACTTGTCGGACGTATGATATGGAAAATATAATTCTGGGAATATAAATTTTCATAAACGTTAGCAATTTAAAATATTAGCTGAGACGCTATACTTCGTAACTGCTGATTTCGGTAACTTCCGTATTGTTACGATCATTTAGAAATGATGCGAAACTGTAACCGCTGAATCAATCAAATTCAGCGGAACGATCGTTGTTTTGAGAGTCACGAACATCGTGCGTGGAGAAGCGTTTGAAAATTTATAGGAATGCTTTTTTATGATCGCAATATACGCGTGTTACATAAAACATCTTGAAATTCATCAACAC